TTTTTTGCTATAAATATGAAAAATCAATATTTTTATAATTTTATTTATACAATAATACGAGTCAAATCGAAACAAACCGCGACCTGTGACCCACATGGGCTCGACCCGGATGGGTCAGCGGGTGGATTTGGGTTGTATTGCAAAATTTGTGGGTCGACCCAGAACCCGTAGTGGGTGGGCATTTTTTCATGTGGACCGTTATCGGGCTCATATGTTGACGGGCCGATCCGGCCCGGACCACCTGGATTGACACCTCTAATATAAAGTAGGCTCTCAATCATTAAGCAAGTTACGTAGTCATGCCGCTCGATTTATAGAAGGGCTCCAATTTTTAAAATTTACATATTTTGCCTTTTTTTTTTTTCCAAATATAAAAAGATTATGAACGGTTTTTAGTTAGTAATCAAATACTAAATTTTTTTTTTTCTGGTTGGGGACAAAATAAAGGACCTGTTTGATCTCCATTTTTTTTTAGGTAGAATGCATTTAAGAATAATAAATTGATGAAGAATGTGTGGTTAAAAATGAAAGAAAAGTTTTTGATTTGCATATAATATTATTTTATTGAAAAATATGTGGTTGAAAAGAAAAAAGAAAAAAATGTATTTTGAAAAAAGAGGAATCAAACTAGGTTAAAATTTAAAATGAGTAGAAAACATTTTTTAAGGGAAGAATAGAAAAAAAAAATTAGTATTTTATGAAAAATATAGAAAAATAACATTTTGTTAGTGACATCGACAATTGTTAATCGTGTCTAAAGCACAATGAATTCTAGAGACCCTGCATTGGTAATTGTTGACTAGTGCTCGGTGATTACCAATAATATCAATGCCGATAATTTGGTGAATCACCAACATACATCAATTTCAATTAGAATAATCTATACTCGTACCATCGGCTACTACTAATGGCTTCTTGTCAGTGATCAAAGCAACATCAGTGAATTTCGACAAAATCACTAACGATATTGTCAACGATAATTGCTGAAAAACGTGTCTCGATATTCATTAACAATATTGTTATCGATAATTTTGTCTGAATCACCAATGGATAATGATTTCAATCAAGATCAATAATTATCATATACCATAACAACGAACCAATGAAACTTATGTTAGTGATCACTTGCTTCATTAATTCTTTTATTATTATTCTCGAACACCCCTTTAGAGATTTTACTAAAAATCCTCAAACAACTTCTAGTTCTCTCACATTTTTATTTCGCACAACTTCTAAAACATTATTCACCCTAACAAGATACGGATTTATTAGTTTGAACCAATTAGACGATCCCAACCCTCCATTCAAGTCGATAATATCACCAAATTATTATTCTTTCCGTTACATTATAAGACCTCTCGAATTATCTATCTTATTTAGTTCCCTTATATCTTCGAAGTTAGATCACAATCTTTAATGCTTACTTTAAAAGAAAAAAGGAAAATCTTTGTAGATTTAGCTAATTAATTAAGTGTACAATGTTTACGTGGTGCAACTAAATTGATGCAAGATTTGTGCGAATTAGTTAAAAGGCATTCGAGGTTCAATGATGGATGCTTTGATATAGTAAACTAGGCCTACTTTACTCCAATGAATTGCCATTGAGTAGGCTTTTAGGTAAGGCACCATAACCACTCATGATTTTTTTGGCCCATTACAATAGTGGGCATGACACATATTATTTCTATTATATTCTTGTTTAGGTAAAAATGACAATACACTATTACGATTTTTAAGGGGTTTATCATATAGAAATCACTTTTAATAGGATTCCCACAATAAATCCTATTATAAATATTATTAATGATTATCGACGACAATATTGTTAGCAATGTTGTTGGGAATCATTCGATGATGCTTCAGTAACTAGTGAAAGTCACCGATGATCACCAATAGTATGACTATTAGTGATTCTGATTAAAATTATACTCCCTC